TCTTACTCCATACACATCACTCCACAGTGAATGCCATGTGCCCCTGTACTGATATGGAATTCACACTCACAGGGTCCCCCTGCAAAGCCTTTCAATTCTTATTGCCCCAGATTCTTATTATCTTAAGTACCTTCCTATAATCAGGAAGCACAGGTCTCAGCAGAAGTCCTCTTTGAGAGGACAGCATTTACCCCTAACTATTGCCTACCCTTTAGGCAACCACTTACTGAACATCAGAGGGAACATCAGGTACTGTTTGAAACAAGAGGAACCATCATAAGTCTCATTTATCCGGCCTCTACTAGGTTTATTAACAGGCATTACATTTAGAAATCTGATAAGTACCTAAAAACATAGAAAAAGTCTTAGAGGACCCAGAAGACCTCATCTGATGTCTTCCGGAATCAAGGCATTTTATCTCATGATTATCCTTTAGAAAACAAATCTGTCTAGAGCATTTCAAATGTTAGAGAAATAAAAGCATTATATGAATTAAGCACAACAGGAAAGGACATTTTTAATCAGACATATCAAGACTGCACCAGTACTGAAGTCTGAATAAAGAAGGAAATTTCAGTCTTGCTGCTCAATTAGTCCAAAGCTCTTTGGAGACTGTCCTGGGTCCAGCAGTAACAGTCATTTTTCTCCTTCTCAGCAGCTGGTGCAGTGCTGTTTTTGAGACTTTTGGCCTGGGAGCAGTGCTAATAACACCAATGTTTCTAGTTGCTGCTAAGTAATGTTAACTCCGACCAAGGACTTTGTGAGCCTCATGCTCTGCCAGGGAGGAGGGGAAGCCGGGAGGAAGCAGAGACAGGACACCTGACCCAAACTAGCCAAAGAGGTATTCCACACCACAGCACATCATGCCCAGGATGGAGAACTGGGGGCAGTTACCTGGAAGGGCTAGATCACTGCTCAGGTTGGGCTGGGTATTGGTCGGCGGTTGGTGAGCGGTTGTACTCTCTCCTCTTGTTATTCCCCTTATCATTATTATTATTGGTGGTAGCAGGAGTGGTTTGTGTTACACCTTAGTTACTGGACTGTTCTTATCCCAACCCGTGGGAGTTACATTCTTTCAATTCTCCTTCCCATCCCTCCGGGAGCAGGGGGACAGGAAGGAGGGGGAGTAAGAGAACAGCTGTGTGGTTTTTCTGAATTACTGACTGGACTTAAAACCACAACAGAGGCCAAAGTGCTTCATTATGTTGAGGAATTATAGGGCACACAACTTACAACTCCTTGCACAGTCAGAAGTTGTATCTGAACACCATGGTACCTTTTGAAGGCTTCTCAAATATCTTTCCCATTTAGCACGTACAGAATCATAGAAAGGTTTGGGTTGAAAGGAATCTTAAATATCATCTCCCCCCTCCCATGGGCTGGGACACCTCCTGCTAGTCCAGGCTGTTCAAAGCCACACGTACCTTGGCATCTTCTTCACTGAAGAGTGAACACCATGGGGAGGTCACATTTTTTATAGCTAACTCATATGAGCAGGTGAGAAAAGCCACTTGAACAAGATCTGCAATAAAGCCAACAAACAAGCAAAGGATAGACCACTGCTACACAACTAGCAACTTTCAACTTGACTCTAAAATGAAATGTAACTACAATTCAGCAATGCAGACAATGTAAGCCAATTGCCAGCCCAGAGGCCAAACACCAAAAATAAGATGTTTTCAACCGGATTGTTCTGAATCCTAATTCTGGACTCCAAGCTTTTCATGTTACATTGCTACAAGAGGAAAACAACAGCATTTCACACCAAATGCTGCACATCTGCTGATGTACATGCTATAGGTATCGACTACTAGTGTGTCCAAACCACCACAAAAGACAGAAAAAGTCAACACAGAGAAGATATGTCTGCTCAGCACAGAGCAGTCTTTCACTACCACTACTCTACCTTCCACATTTCCAGCTGAGTTTGAACAGCAGTGTGCTGCAATTTTGGGACCATGGCTTTAGGAACATGCTAGAATTAACAGCAACACTTATTTGGGGGGATTCCCTCATCACTTGACCACACAGTGAAACCTAGCACTTCTATTCTGGACAACTGAAGTTACCACATGGACACACAGGTCCACGTTTTCCTGACGTTATTTGTGTGTTTGAACTGTAACAGGTTTAAAAAAAGCTAAACCTTTTTGACAAAGCAGAATTAGAATAACAACACTGGTTTGCCTCCAAGCAAAGGAAAAGTTGATTTCACCTCCAGAAAAGGTATTTTCAAACACCTTTTTCTTCTGACCACTAATAAGCATTCATTACTGCAATACCAATATATATTTACTGCCTATGCAATTAATCAGAGACTGTATCTCCCTTTTACACCATGATTTTAGTTACCTTCTCTCCATAACTACACATCTTGGAAGTCATTCTCAAGCAGAAGCCACTTGCAACAGGCATTCATTACCTGCATTTAGCTCCTCCACCGGCAAACACAAGGCACTTGCAACCTTCTCCACGACCTTCTTCATCTCTGGCCCCTCTTTGAAGGCCTTCACCTGGCACATCGCCGTGGCGTTCTCTTCCACCAAGGCTACAAACTTGGCGCAGTGATCAAAAAATCGCATCAAGGAATCATTAACTTCCACCTCTGCTTCTGAAAGCAAACACAGGCGTCAGGGACGCAGTCAGACACCTCCCCAAGGGCAGTCCATCCTCCACAGCGGTGTTCCTATAGGGGGAAAGCGGGGTCCCCCCCCAGCCCGGGCACGCGGGACATGGGACTGGCCTCACGGCTTCCCTCAGGCCCGGGGCAGCGGGGAGGACTTGGGGGCTCGCTCAGGGAAGGGGGGACAGATGTGCGCCCGGTCTTACCGTCGCTGCCGAGGCTGAAGGACGGTCCGAGCCCGCGGCGGAAGGCGGCGCCGCTCTGCAGGCAGCGGTGCTTGGAGCTGCTGGCCAGCACCAGGCGGCGGCGGGCGGCGAAGAGGGCGGGGAAGCGGGCGGCCAAGCGGCGGGCCAGGTGCTCCATATCGCGCCGGCCCTGTGGCGCCAGCCGCCCGTCGAGGCTCTCGTTATACCACATCTGCCAGGCGGCTAGGTCGGCAGCGGCGGGGCAGGCTGCTGCGGCAGATCCTGCGTCAGCGGCGGGGCGGCGGCGGAGGAGGCGGGCGTGCAGGTCGCCCAGGCGGCGGATCTGCTCGGCCGTGGGGTAGCGGGTGCCGTGGCGGAGCAAGGCGCGGAGCTGCAGCGGCGCGCAGGAGGGCGGCAGCCCGGACCCGACGGCGGCGGGACCCAGAGACAGCGGGTCGCGCACCAGGTACGGGTTCACATCCTCGTAGCGCGACTTGGTGCCGAAGTAGCCGTTCAATCCCGCGCTCGCCACCTCCAGCAAAGGGAGGAGAACGGCAGAAAGGAACACAGCTACCACCCGCAGCGACGCCATGGCGGCAACTGCAGGGCTCCTGCAGGAAGAGGCGGGGACGAGTTGCCCCGCCCTCCTCCCCCTCGCCTGCGGGCCCGCGCCTCAGCGGGGCGGGCTAGCAACCGGGTGAGGGTGGTGCGCCCTGTGTAGAGCGGCGGATGCCGCGCGGCTCGGCTCGATCCCTCAGGACTGTACTTGTGTGTTAAAACCGCGCCTTTATGACTCATTTATGGATCCTCAGGGCACTAAAGACCCCGATTCTCACCCCCACGCTTGTGCCTGCCTTGGGTGGGCACCAGCCAGACGAGGCGTGAGGCAACGGGGAGATGGCGGCTTCCCTCAGGTCGTGGTAGGTCCCCATAGTACTTCACCCGTGAGGGTGCAAAGAAAAGCCTTTTTGACCCTTTTATGGCCCCCCATGATGCTAAAGACCCCAATATTCACACACAAGCACACACCCCCTTGTGCTTGCTTTGGCAGGGCTTGGCCTTCAACATGGGATACATCATCCTCCACACTGGCCAGTAAGTTGAGTAAGCAAAGCCAAGAAGGGGCTTTTGACGGCATTTTTTTTTCTCTTTTTGCCCAAAAGCTGACGAATTCCAGTCAACAGTTTAGGGAGCATTGTTGAGCGGGGGATTGTGGGTCACTGCTGGTGGGGATGGCATTGCAGATCAAAGGCAGTGCAGGGTGTCAGGGTTTTGTAACAGGGTTTATGTGTTCCCAGCAGGAGGGAGTTCATGTGGAAATAGGGAGCTGTGAAAAAGTCGAACATGTGGGTGTGAAGTTTACAGCCAGGGATGCTTCCAATCAGGAGTGGTGTCCAGAAAGACACCAGTATTGTTTATAATCCTCACATCCCACTGGCATCATCGGTGGCACAGCATGATGGCATTGTAATGGGCTATATAGAAAAGCTTAGAAAGGCTTAGAAAAGCAAAGGCATCCTGTGGAAAAGCCTGAGCTGCCAGTGATGTGATGGTTATAAAACAATTTGAGCAAAGGCATAAGCAAGAAAAAAACCCATCCGCAGTGCTGAAGATACCCATTTTAAAGAAAACCCTCACTACTAAATAGGTAGCTAAGGAAACTGAGTGACTTGTAAGAGAACCAAGGCTTGAGGTTAACAGAAGCATCTCAAGTCTCGGGAAAAGGGCTTGGCTTTTGACCTATAGCATGTCCTCGTCAGACCTATGTTTTATATACAGAAAGATCAGCTACTTTGCACCCTGCCTACACAGTCAGGCTATTGTGCATACAATTGAGAATTTTCACTGAATAAAGTTTTTCATTATATATTTAGTCAACTAAAATTCTGTTGGAAAATGCGTATCTCATCTGTCTTCCACCTCATTAAAAACTGAAACAAGGTGTTAAGGTAATGATATGATAATGTACAAACAGTTAGGGTAGGCAAAACCTTTAAAGCTGAGAGAGAAAGGGGAAATGAAGGTATAAGTATGGGTTTTAAAGTTTCTGGACAAAATTAAGGGCTCTCTATGGTGGTGTGACTTAGCTCTCTCCAGTGATAGTGTGCAGGACTACACTGTCATGTTTCCTAGTGCTTTGGGAAAGGAAATAGTACAGTATGCAAACTAAATTACCTCGCTGAAGGCTTTGGCTTGGTCCTCTGTTGTGTGAAAGGTTACTTCTTACCAGGTATAATGGAGATTTTCAGGGTATATAGCAAAAATTTTTGGCAGTGAGAATTTTGTTCTATATGTTTCATAGAGATGCAACTAATAAGGGGTTGGATTTGTGATCTCTTCATACCTAGCAGCAGGTATGTTAGCTGTCTACAGATTAATTCCACTTCAGTGATAATGCACTCAGTTGTTCTGTTGGGACTTGTGTTTCAGCTGTATCTGGGGTGTAGTGGGTGTAGTGCCAAGTACTTCACTGTTTCTGTCGCCCTTTGTGGCCTGTTCATCTGAGCCTTCCACAGCATGCTGCTTTTCTTGTGCTGGGATCTTGAGGCAGTTGTGGGTAAGTACCAAGCAAATACAGTGCTGGGAGGCAGACAGGTTTGGCACTTGTAACATAAGTCTTCTAAACAGTAACTTCAGGAAAGAGGAGCAAAGCCTGACTATATCAGGACACAACAAACACATACAACCAAACAGTGCTTCCGTTCCTAGACTTTTATTTTGTGTTTAAAATATTCCAGGAAGTGTTTTCATGCACAGGGTGATTTTACACCAGCATTCTGGAAGGATTTCTGGATATATGGAATATGTTCCTGGACAGCATCTACTCGCTCCCTCAGGAATTGATGCACTTGGCAGTCCAAGACCCAACAAGACCCTACTGCTGTCTTTAAGCTACCTTAAAGGATCTGAAAGGAAGAGGAACAATCCCATGATGATTTGGAAGAGGTGGAACACATTAAGCAGATAAACTCTTAATGACTGCATATGCATCTCACTGGTTATGGAGCTCTGCTGGAAAGGGCTTAGGTTAAACATGAAAAATACAAGTTTGTGCAAGAAGGTGAGGCTAATAACTAGTTATTGTTTAATAAAATAGGACATTGTCTACTCTAAACCAGTGGTAATTCAAAACCAGTGAGACAAACAAAAGCATTGTGATCATTTGTCTAGTACAGCTCTTTTGGATGTAAGTGGTTCTTAGGAAATTGTTATTATTCCACTTCATTAAAAACTGAAACAAGGTGTTAATGTAATGATATGATAATGTGCAAACAGGGTAGGCAAAGCCTTTAAAGCTGAGAGAGAAAGGGGAAATAAAAGTATAAGTATGTGTTTAAAAGTTTCTGGACAAAGTTAAGGGCTCTCTGTGGTGGTGTGACTTAGCTCTCTCCCAGTGATATTGTGCAAGACTACATTGTCATGTTTCCTGGTGGCTAAGTAATTTGGAGTAATTTTCTCCCCTCTGAAATTTTAGCAATTTCAGAGGGAGGAAAATGCAAATACTCCATTATCATTTCATATGATCTTCTTTAATTTATATTAGGCATATCTAACCATTTAATGTAATTTCTAGCATATCATCTTTTATAACAAAACCAGCACAAAACTGCATAGAGTGAGGTTTTCAGAAAATACTATTTTAAGTTGTTTTGAAAACTATCAAGGGTATTTTATAAAATACTAAGGAAAATTCCATCTTCTGCATAATTATTCACTGCAACAAATCTATAATTGGCTTTAGTAGGAAAATGACTTGGCATATTACAGCAGTATGTACATGAGCTTATGTGCATGAGGGAGAAAAAGAACTCATAGAGTTTTTCATTAAAGATCATAAATATTAAATTTTAAAAATATGAATTTGAAAGGCAATTAAATAAAAACTGGTTTGTGATCACAGTTTCTATGGAATTCTGTGTCCTGAATTGTCAAGTGAAGGCAGTCTCCCCCCACTGCGATCCCTTACTTGCTCTATCACATCACATTAAATTGTCACATCTTAGTATATCACATTCAGTTATGTATTTTGAATGGCTTTCACAAATTTTTTTTTATGTAGCTATTGAGATGGGGAAAATGTTATCCATCACATATTGTTCAGTGAAGAGGTGCTTCTATTTCCACTTCTAATATTTGAAAACATCAAGAGAAAGAGTTGCTTTTACATCACGTTTCATATTTGATGGAGTCTGAATCCATAGAGGCCTTTGTGGCCACTGGTTACACAGGAAATTTTTTAGTGCTGCTCTCAGCTGAAAATGTTGCTTTGTTTGAATGGTTGCACATGAAGCTAGGCTCTTTTCAGAATTTCTGTGCATCATGTTTGTCACCTTTAGAAATAAAGAAAGACCAGATGATTCAGATGCATAGTGCCTACGCAGCCTAAGTTGAGGTATGTGAACATGATTGCTCAGATCAACAGACAGGCCAAGTGTGTTAAAAATTGGATAGATACCAACCTGCCTGATGCTGCTTAGTCAAGTGCAGCCTCTGAGTGCTGAAAATACCACTTTTTCCCCCTTCAAAGCTTTTCTTCCCATAGAGCATTATCTTTTCTCTGGAGAACAGCTCCACTTCATACCCCAAAACTTGGGACAAAGCATTTACATAGCAGCCAAGTTGTTATTTTCACTCTCTACAAGTATTGTGATGTCCTGTTTTGGTCCTTGATGTGTCTTCTTTATGTTTAAATTAGAGGCCAAAAAAAAAAGTACAAACACGCCTGCTCGAAATGCAGCCATGTCAAATTGTTCTCTTTTTGGTTCTCTTTTATCTTTTTTGTTTCTTTCCATCTTCAAGTATGGTGATGCTGCGGAATGGTTAATTCATAAGTCACATTTCCATTCACTGGCACTCTTAGAGTGCAGTGAAATCAGTTTCAAAGAAATGTCCTGAATAATTTCCTTATTTCTGCTTCTTCTATGGGTTTTCCTTAGAGGTGCATCAATTTCCAAACCAAGCTATATTTGAAATGCAGCTTAGAAAGTCAATCCACTAACCTCTTCTGAAAGCACTTTTTTTCTTATAAAGCCTTCCTATTCCTCAGTACTTTGATGGCCTGTAATTGCCATTAATGGTGATACATTTATTTAGCAGTCAAAGGGCAGAGAAAATGTTATATTAATATGTCACCAGCTGAGTGTATGCTATTTGCTGGTCTTTTCAAAAGTGAAGAAAGTTTCCAGTTTCCAGGCTGAGCATTCAGATAATTCATATAGTACAAAATTCACTGCCTGTAGCTGTAGAAGCAACAAATGGTTCTAGGTTTCAGCTCTCTGTATAACATTTTTAAAACCAGTGATAGTAATTACATGGTCCAGAGAGGAAAAAGTGTTGGCCTCTAATTTTGTGTTCAGTTTACTTTCTCATGCAACCTGTCCTTTCATTTTCTTTACTTTCAAGGAACAGATCTCCAAGCAAGGATCTCTTCCTGCTGACAGGCAGTATTCCTTGTTATCTGATGGCCAGCTATGGTTTTAAGAGAAAAAATAAGGTAAGTTTTTGTCAGCCTTTGAGCTTCACAGTCCTAAAGTAACAGGAATGTAAGAAACACAGGAGTGGTGCTATTTGGACATCCTGGTCTCACTGTGGCATGTCATCTTCAGAATAAGGTCTGAAAAGCTTCAGCAGAGGTGGCTCAGAGCAGAAGGATATCCTCTATTCCTGTGGTGTTCAGTTATTCTCTGTAAGGAAGCAAATTTCAACTTTTGAAGTCAGAAAGCAAAGCAAGCAATATCCAGAGGCACTGCATGCTCCAGACAACCAAATTTTATCTTATTCAACTGGATGAACCCTGCACACATGAATTTGCTGGCTTTCGGCAGCATTGGAAGGGCTGCAGGCTGGGGCTAGGCTCAGCCTGGCCAAGGCACAGATACCAGCCCAGGTATGAAGATCTACATAAACATGTGTTACTGTTCTGGCTCTTGGCCTGGGCAGAGGGCATGAGGCAGGGTAGAGACGGCCTGATGGTGGATTTGATCTGGCATAAAGAGGGTCAGAAATATGAGGGTGTGTGGTGGAGACTCAGAGGAGGTGAAGGGTGTGGGCTTGGAGCTACTCAGCCTGCTTTTGGGTCATGTCTTCACACTTGGAGACGATGCACCAGCACATGAGCTTGGGAGTTTGTGTACTCTGTAACATCAATGATAACTGAACTGCTTTTATTTTTCCCACGGGGAGGGTAACCCTATTCCCTGCAAACTTTACTGGCTCACAAAATATTGGCTCACAATTGTGTTTGTGCACAGCAAGCAAAGCTGAGTCTCTGCTGCTGCTGGGCTAGGTGGTGGCATCCAGAAACCCGGGCTGTTGATCCTCTGTCAGTTGGCAACACATCTGTGCCTTCCAGTGCAAAGCCATGTCAGCACAGTGGCGCCCATTTTGGATGATGTTTTTTTGTACTGTAGTTGCAAAATCACTTTAATCTTGGGGCACTGCCAGATCCTCAATGCTCCCTTTTGACACGTATGCTTTTCAGAGGCACTTTCTGTTCTTTTGGGGAGTCTTTTGTCTTCTGTTCATATGAGCAGGGAGCAGGAACACATTTGTTGCTCATATGTAAAGTAATGTTGTTTTCCTTAGCTCATGCCACATTTTGGTTAGCAGACAGAGAACTGGAAAAGAAACAGTGCATCCACTGGTGACTGTTGCTTTTCACAGAAAGGGCTGAATTCAGATCTTGTCCAGTCTATCCTAATGGAGAGATACTCCTAATACTTTTGGTTGCTACCTGCCTTGCATGTGATTCCAGTTTGGGAATTGCCACACTGTGACTTACCAACAGTTGAAAATGGGAGGTCTATGACCGGGCTGCTTGGTCTGGAGATCACCTTTCTGGTCCCTCCCTCCCATTGCAAAGGGTGGCTGCTCTAAAGCTGCTCAGTGTGACTCCCTTGAGGTTGGGGTCAAAGTCCTTTCTCAAGCTCCTTAGGGCCTGCTTTTCCACCTGGCTGGCTTGTTTAAATGGTTTATAGTTATGGTGGAGCCAGTACCTGCTTGCTGCTGCTAGACCTCGATTAACCCTGAGTACAACTACATCTCCATAACTATGCTTACATACATGTTCTGTTCTCATGGCCTTTACATGACCTGTTCTGTTCTCTGCTTTTTCAGTCAGCCACCCAGCATTTGAAGTATCAGGCATGTTTGATGGTGTATGGGAAATACAGTGCTTTTGGAAACCCTGAGTGCTGTAACATGGTCTCCTTGCTGGCATGGTTTTGTTTGCATGACTTGATCAGCATGGCTATGTCGTAATGAGGCTGTGTGTCACATGGCTTGTTCTCCCAGAAAATATAGAAACCTTTGGGGATCCTAAGTGATTTGACCTCTTTGCAAGTAGAGTTTCTAGTCTTGCAGTGTGGCTTCACCCTGTGTGGGGAATTCCATCACATGTCAACACCTTAATTATGTGGCTTGTCTTTCTGAAGCATGTCAAGCCCTTCCAGTTCTTGAGCAGCATGATCACACAACAAACACAGTCAGGACATGGAATGGCTTGGAAAAATGCAGACATAAACTCAGAACCCCTCAAAATGCAGCCAAACTGGGTTTTCCAAGAGTGAAAATAAATACTAACAGTTTCCTTCTTCAGATAAGTAAGAAAGGAAAAGTCCTTGATCAGGGTAAGCACTACTTGGCAACAACTAAAACAGTGGTGTGTCATCAGCGCTGTTCACTGACTGAAGCCGAAATACAGCACTGCACCAGCTACTAAGAAACAAAAGTAACTGTTACAGCTGAAACCAGGACACAAAGCCACATCTCGCTAAGTCATTCAGAATGAAAAACTGGTAACGGAGGCAGTTTGCCAATTTATTCAGCAGCCGTAGAGCCACGGTTGGTCAGCAGCTTTCTAAAATTAAAACGCTCACATAAGACAGATTTTCTTCATGACCAAGCAATCTTTTTAATAGATTCAGTAAATAGAATGTTGTGTAGTAACATTTCTTCCAATCCTAAGGCAGTAAGTTATAAGTTATCCTTATGATACTGCTTTTCAATTCCTTTGACATTTTCTATTGCTGTTCATATTTCTTTTTTGCTTTAAGAAAGTGTTTTTCACCCATATTATCATTAGAAAAACCTAGACCACCTAGACAACTTTTGTCTGCCAACGCATGCAACAGGCTGTTTTACAGATACTTCTTAGGGACTCCAAGAAGTTGGGGGCAATTTAAGTTCCAGTTAAAGCTTCTTTCTTATCTGGACTAGTTAACTTTATCACTTTTATTTCCACAGGAGGTAACAACCCATTGCTGGGTCACTTTTATTCTCTGTGTGCTCTTCACTGCCCTGTTTTGTGAAGCTTAGGTTTCTTCTCATCTATATTTTAAAGATGGGGAGGCATTAGGAAACTACAGAGATTATTGTACTTGCCAATACTCTGACACGAGAAGCAAATATCAAGAATTAACTTGTAGATCCCTTTACTGCTAAATGAAGACATGTTATTTCTGTCCTCCCCAGTGTCTGCAGCCATGTCAAAAGTACATCGTGATAATGGTAGCAAGGGCAATCCATACCAGCTGTCAATATATCTCACACTCAAACTGATTGCAAATCAGTTTTCTGCATTCACAGTTTGTTTAGTTTTAGCTCTTGCATATTTAGCTGTTTTCATGTTTTCCAGGCAGCATGGGCTGTGAACAAACTGTATAATCCATGTGTGCTTTTGGAAATGTTTTGCTTCACCCAAAACCAGAGTTGATGGCAAACAGAGCTTTGCAGAAGAAAGATGCTGATCTGCTTTGCAGCTTTGCCCACAGCTCAGCTGATCCTGGCTGTGTTTCAGAGCACAGATTTCAGTAACGGGAATGAACCAGCATGTCAGTCATTGGGGTCTTTCTTTTAGCGCCATTAGCAATTGCAGCACAAAAGGAAAATGAAGAGTCATTCAGCTGGAGTTAACTGGGTCTTAGTCTTTTGTCTAGAAAATCCTTAACTTCCCCATTGAAGTCTGGTAACAAATTAAAAACTTTTGTCTGCTTGCCCCTCAAAATCAGTTCATGTCAGTAATGCTTTTAGCTCGGATAAAGGAAAAGGGTGTTGCAGGTTGGATTTACTATTCATTAAGGAAATTAATTTACTCTTCCTTATACAGGGTTGAAGTGCTTGGGGCATGGGCCTAGGAGAGAGGCAGGGTAGAGAAATGGTACTAACATGTCCTGCTTCGGGAATGCCTTTTGAGTCTCATGCTGAAAGTGAAAAGCTGTGAAAATTATCTTATTTTTTTTATATGTGTATGAAGAATCCAGAAGGGAGGGAAGGAGGGAGGAAGGAAGGAAGGAGGGAAGGAAGGGAGGAAGGGAGGGAGGAAGGGAGGAAGGGAGGAAGGGAGGAAGGAAGGAAGGAAAGAAGGAAGGAAGGAAGGAGGAAAGAAAGAAGAAAAGAAGAAAGAGAAAAAAGAGAAGAAAGAGAATGAGAAAGAAAGAAATAGAAAGAATAAAAAGAGAAAGAGAGAAAGAAAAAAGGAAAGAAAGAAAAAAGAAAGAAAGAGAGAAAGAAAATGGGAAAGAATGAGAGAGAAAGAGCGAAAAAAGGAAAGAGAGAAAGGGAAAGAGAGAGAGAGATAAAGAGAGAGAAAGAAAGAAAAAGAAAGAGAATGAGAAAGAGAAAGAAAAAAGAGAGAAAGAGAAAAAAAAGAGAGAGAGAAAGGAAGGAAGGATTCATCTAGAAATTTTTTTTTTGTTTTACCCCTCTTCCAGATTCCTGGGTATTTGCAGTATGTTTGGTTACAGAGAGATCAGAGTCAAACCTTCCTCGGCAGCAAAAAGGGACGCCACACGCAGGGAGTTCAGGTTGGATGGGGCGTAATACACCTTCCCCCGGAGTGGATAGCAGCACTAGGACAGGTCCCCCAAAAGAGAGTCTCCATCCTACGCAGGGTCAGGGAAACTCCTGAAGCAGCCCATGAATGACGGACCCTGCATGTGAGGAAAGGAAAAGCTTCTTTTGAAATGAAACAGGAGAGGGTCTGACTCAAATTCCTCGGAATGCATGCCAGGCAAAAATAGCAGTCCAGACAAGTTTTTCTTTGTTGTTATTGATATAGTTGAGGAAACAAATCTTTGTGCATGCTCTTGTACAGAAACAAGCTGTACATTGAGGGGTGCTGCTTGATAACATGGTCAAACTCCAGCATTTTTCTTCATGCTTTCTTTGGAGGATTATGAGGTCTGCTATGGTTTTGTTGAAGGCAATGAGCTGGTCCATTCAGGAGGGCTGCAGTCACGCTTCAGAGTGTCGTAAGCATCACAATCTCATTTTTAAGTCACTGGGTTTATGATTGAGGAAATAATCCTGTGCAGAATGGGAGTTCTTATTTCTTTTGGATTTCTGAAATTTACCCTGATTGAATGTCTGTGTTTCCTTCCCTCATGTCAGGGTAAAATCTTTTCTTTTTGGCAGATTTTCCATGTTGGAATTCACTTTTGCATTTGATATGTCCATGGTGCATGGCTGCATATTGATTTTGTAAAACCTTTTACTTAAAATGCCAGGATAATAATTTACTTTGCTTCAGTGCTTGTCATGATCCCCTTTTGATCAGGCACTGACTGCACTTCTTTAGATGTGGATGTGAAATAAGCCTTATTAAAATCTGTCTAGATCTGATCTGTAGCATTAATTGTACAAGGTGTTAGTACCAAAAACCATAATTTGGGAAGTTTCAGTACCTTCACTCCATAATATGAGGCTACACATTTTCACTACATTAACATACATGCCTTTGAGGGGTGGAAAAAATTCAACAGACCCACAACCCACAACTGGTGGATACATTCACTTTTGAACTGATTTAGTATAAAAGGGAGTCTTATAACTATTTATCATATTGAAAAGAATTCCTTAATCTTTATGAAAAGCAGACACCTACAATTATCATTCAGTAATTTAAAATGCCAGTTGCTTTCCTTTCTGATACAGATAATATACATCTATGTGTGCAGTAAAGATATGTACTAATGACATGCTGCATTAACAGGATAGGAAAATTAATCCCATCCCATGTAAAAGTATAAATATCATCACCTGAATCAAGATGAACATGACATTCCTGGTGAGTGAGTCTATTTTTGGGAAATCATGGGGTTGGAATAAGATTAAAATAAAAAAGGTGACACTTGAGTGTTGCTAACTGTAAAATATTCCCTGTTCCACAAAAAGTTTGCAGCTTGTTCCTTTCATTAAACCTCTGGTTTATCTTCCCTGTAATTTTGGCCTGAGAAATTCCAGCTAAATGTTGAGGTTGACGCAGATGGTCTTACTACAAACAGACGTTGCCTATTTTTGCAGAGCAAGTTTACAAAGCAGGCTCATTTGAAATGGTGACTTGTGCCTTTCTTACATCACCTCTGAACTCCAAAACTACCTTTGAACTTTCCATAAGGTAAAATTCAGTTGGTTATACTTAGGCAAAGCTGGTTTTTATCTGGTGGAAAATTTTTAAAATCAACCTGCTCTTCAGCCGGTGCATTTTTACTCTGATTTAAGAAGACACAGAACAAATTACTTGTGGCCTGTGTGTTTAAAGATCCCACCCAGGCTTTTCTGGTCATACCAAAGCTATTGATGGCAGTCTGAATATCCTTTTGTAGCTTCTGTAGCCACTATAAACCTTCCTGCTAATGAACAAGTATTTTCTTCTGAGTTGTTTATTTAATAATAAGAAATTAGGGTTGCATTTGAAACTATCATGTTATGATTTTAAGCCCCTCCACATTTTGCACATGAAAAAACACATTTTACAAAAGCTTTGATTATGCCAGCCAGGGTTGGAGATGTCCTCTTGCATCCAATTATCCTCTTGGATTTGATTGATAGATTTTTTTTTTCCCCAGATGAAAGCACTACACGTTTGACTCCCAAGTGTATAATATGTACTCAGGCATTTGGCCTCTGAAGCAGCCATAGGCAAGGCAGGCAGAGTCAAGAAGCCCGTTAAAGTACGTACGGTCTGAACAAGGGCTATTTCATTACTGAGAATAACTTTGAACTGACAGAGAAAGTCCTTCTTGGTGTAGGAAAGCCAGCTAATTCTTCCAAGACTTTAGAGCACATTATTTTTAGTTCAAAATAATCATGGGCTATTAAACATAAACAGAACCTGTGAGAAGCCCTGTGTCACTAAGCACGGCACCAGGAAAGTCTCACTGCAGCAATTTTGTGCTCCTACATGCTGATGGAGACATATGGGGCTTCAGGTCTGACACCGTATGTCTATTCCTATATGAACTAGATGCCCTTCTGTCACCCAGGGAAGATAAGTAGTCCGTTTTAAATACCCCTTTTCAAATGATTTAGAAACAAACAAACAAAAAGAGGTATTTCTTGAGACAGAAAGGAGACATTAGGAGTCAGCAAAATTGTTTCTGTTTGTTCTCTGTTCTCCACAGAGATGGTCACCATACCCGTATACAGGTCTAGTCTCCAAATGGAGGAGGAAGGGATCTATTCTAATCTGTTTTTTAAAGGTTATACAGGAGATTTTTGTGGGAAAGCCCAGAAATAGCTGACGACAGCTAGACCTGTGATGACAGAGCCAGTACTGAAGTCCTTGTACTCAAACTGAAGGCAAAGCAGACTAACCCTAATGTGTGGTCATCGCCAGAAGAAAGATTACCGTATTAGACCACATTTTCCAAGGAGATGATCTAAGACTGAAGTGGATGAGTCAGCTGAGAGCGAGCACTGTGACTAGAGACCTCACAGGAGTACCCAGCCAGGCGTGAAGCCAATGATCTTCCCAAATCAACAATTTCAGGACAAATTACAGTTAAATAAAGGGATTTATCTTGAGATGTCTTTGGGAACTGCATCCTTGAAGCACAGCTCTGGTCTAAGCATCAGATGGAGAAGGGTACAGGGACCATCTCAGACAGCATCCGAGAAAGAATTCAAGTGGCAACAAAAGTTAAAAAATAGCACGTAGCTCCCAGCAAGGTTTCCTACCCTGGGCAAGGAATAGATGCAGTTTTATTTGTACCTAGTTTGGAAGGAAATCTTTGCAACGGTGAACTTGGTTCTCTGACTTACAGCCTTTTGCTGATCTCAGCCACACTTCTTGCCGAACAGCCTCCAGGTCATGGAGACAATAAGAGATGTTGTCTTCTCAGGATCAGTGGGTTTTAAAATAATCCAGAGAAGTGCCTTTGTAAGAGAACAAACCCAGTGCACCATATTTAAGGGGAAAGACACAATATTTTCCAACAGAAAGGGATGTGTCCTTGGCTTTGCTGATGCCATACAGGTCAGGGCTGAAGTACCCAATCCAAACTGAGTTGGGAGGTGACTCCTGCTGCAAGTGGAGGGAACCCAAGAGGTTCAGCACTATGGTGACACTGATCCTATGAAAGATGTTTTCTTGCATAATTCTGATCCAAATCTTGAATAATCTAGAATGAATGAGTTGTTTGATGCCTGGGTATTTTGCAGGGATATAAATAACACTGCCCTGACTACAACATGTGGCCCAAAGTAATCTATCTTTGCAGATGATAAGCACTAATGATACTTTTCCAAATGCCTTATCAAGAATACTCTGTGGTAACAGCTGCTCAAGAACTCGTTGCAGATTTAAGCTTGTGGCATTGTATGTTTGTGATGGAGAAAATCAGCAGGGACAACAGTGTCTGTAGTCTCAGTTACAGGCCCAGGGCTGTTCCCTCCCTTGCCCTTGTGGTTGGTTGCTGATGCCCTATGAGATGTCACTACAGCTCCATAAAAGAAGTCATGCAGGTATTAACCTAGGCTATTCCTAGGACTGGGCACAACACTGTTAACAGCAGGGCCAAGCCCTCCTATTTTCTCCAGCCAGAGTTTTGTCACAGTAGCCAAAAGAGCTGTTCATTTTCACCCAGCGTTTTAGCCTCTGGTCTCAGTGCAATTGCACTTCATCAAGCTTCAGCAGCAGGAGCAGGAAGCAGAGCAGCCTTTGTGCCTTCCCCTGTGACACTGAGGCAAAGATACGCAGCCTGGGGGCAAGCCTTACAGGAAACAAACCCACCTTTTCTGTCCTTGACTTGTAGAGAAGGGGAAGAGTTCAGCAAATCAGAGACAGGATTTGGCCCATTGATTTTTTTGCATATAATAGGTAGCAGGTCTTAGGTGGAGAAAAATGTTCTTTAATCAGTATCTTTTACTTTATTGCAATTAACTTTGTTATGCTAATACAGCCTTACTGATTAAAGACGCCAAGTTTCCCCGTAATAGTCTTGAATTACTACTAGGGTAATGATATTTCCATTTCTAAACATCCTGTGGTGCCATCCAAGTTACATCTGTATTCATGTACATACCTAATATGAATTATTCTCACACAACATTTACATCAAACATTCTTCCTGCATCAAAAATACACTACGTAGTTAAAAAACAGCTTCCCCATGTTTTAGTGCTCATCTTAATACTGTTATTATAAGCCCTGTGCTATTTACTGCTGTGTATTTAAGCAGGTTTCAAACGATATTTGCAACACTTGGTGTACAAGGCTGAGCTCTGGGGAACGTGTGACAGTGGGTGACGCTGGATGAGCTATCTGCTGGTGCTATTCATCATGCGTAATATGTCCTATTGCACCAAGGGTGCATGTATGGTAGGCACACCCAGTAATGGTGAAACACAGAAATCAAATTACTGCTGCAGAGATAATTGATTCTAGCCAGGGACAGAGGTGCAACTGGGGTGTGTCATGGCAGCACTGTCACAGTAAAAGTGAGTGTAGCAAAGAAAACAATCACAAAAAGGTCTGACAGCGAAGCTGACACACTGGTAATGGTGTTTGGTACAGCCATGTGACAGTCTCTGGCTCCAAATCTGTCTAAATCTGTGGCATTTAAGCCACTCACAGCTTGTTTTAGGAGAGGACTAATATGTTGACCTGAGCTTTAGATAACCTCTTCTGATGCCATCTCCATGATCTGCATATTTATCCAAAAACTCAGTGCAGCTTGCCACTTTGCCGGCTGCAAGGTTACCTGGATGTTCAGCACCTTTCAGGAGCAAGCCCATGCCCTGGACAACTTGAGGAGCTTCAGATGTAATTTTGTGGCAGCTGTCTCATACCAAATCAAGATCAAAAATTTTTTGCTATGATTTGCTATGATGTATTAAATGTTAAAAAGATGGTGGCCATTATTAATGAAATTGAAGTCTTTCCTAGCTGAAAGTTACCATAAAATTGGATCTGAACTAATGTAATTTCAAGCAAATGTAATACGCTGTGATCTTAGATACCAGCAAGAGGTCAAACCTGCTACATACCTCTTTTATGGTCTTCACAATGTTAGTCCAATTTGCAGAGCCAACACATTAAACAGCCCTTGTGCTGTGACCCGTGAATAATCCTAATAGGATTGATACGTCTGAGTGGTGCTCCGGGTCAAAACTCCTGTTGAATTTGATGGCAGCTGCTCTACTTCCCGCGTTCTTCCTGCAAAACCTCTGCTATCACCTCCTCTGAAAGGCACTTGCAGCCCAAGCAACAGAGGTCCAACCCATGGTAAAACCTAAGCCACCTATAGGACAAATGCACTTTAAAGTTGCCTTTTCTTTCTTTAGCAGAAGCATAAATCTTTTTTTTACACCAATAAAATTCTGTAGCCATGCCAAACGGGTTATACTCTCTCTCCTCCTCTTGGCAGTAGTGAGGAAGTTATATGATTCTGAGTTTTATATGGTTTATACTATTTTCTAGTTCAAGTAATGCATGCTAGCTCCACTTGGATTTTGGTTTTAGACCTTCAAGTTACCAAAATATTTATCAAAATGAGAGCCTTAGCATCAGCTTCTCTCCGTTGTTCCTTGCTTCTCCCTTGCCTAAAGGCAGCATCAGATTATTGTATCTAGAGGCTGTTACAGTAAAAACTGTATCAGCAGTGAGTCTGGAATAACATTTGATGCTTATCCTCACATGGAGAGCCTGGTACTCTATAGATTTCTCTACTTTTATATATTGATAAATATATAAAATACCAATATATTTATATATTTGCCACCCCAGGGTATCTCCAGCCTGGCACATCTGACCCCACTGTGGGACATTAGTTTCAAGGTGACCATCTCCAGAACTTGCTGGAAAGTACAGAGCTCTGTGCTGGCCAGGGAACTACTCCTAGCAGATGGATCCAGGAAATTTCTGATTGACTATGGCAGGAGGGAGCAGCATTTCTGCATCTGTGAAACACACAGTCTCCATTCATCTTTCTTCAACGCAACTGTTATACCACTTTGCTCCAAGAAATATGCCTCTTCCCAGCCTCTGCCGTGTTGCAAATTAGCCTTGAGCACTTGCAAAGCCATTTCCTCCACAATTTTAGCATGCTGCTCTCAGCATAAACCTGCTGGCAGAGTGAATACAAGGAACATCGCAAGCTGATCTTCTGTTTTGAAAGCTGGCAGCTAATTGGGGCTCCCCGAGTCAACTGCAGTGACTGCCCCTGGGAAGCCCCACCTTTGTGCTGCTGCTTTTGCAGAGCAAGGTTTTCTTCTAAGTCCTGCCCACAGTCTGGTTGAACTTACTGAGTTTTAACCATCCTGTAATCTATAGCTCTTGGACTGCTATACAGCACTGTGCTGCCAGACCTGTCTGAGCACACAAGCATTGCCTGCAGGGAAGAGGATGCAGTGGTGCTGTCTGAGAGCAGGTCTGCTCTGGTCCAGTCTCAGCTGAGCCCCGCTAGTGTGTATATGCAAGGAAAAACACAATTCACCCTTTCAGGGATAAGCACAGGTTTTAAAAGGAAATGGGCAAGCAGACATGCAGCACAGCAACAATTCAAATCTGCTTTTACAGTTGTTTATTTACAGTTAAATAAATGTTTTATTATATTAGCAAATACGTTAGGGTTACCCCCCCCCAAAAAAAAAAAAAAAATTAAGCTTTTTTGCATGACCAGCACTAGCACTGTGGGAAAAATCAAGGGCTGCAGCATGTGAGGTGGTTTCAATAAGAGTTTGAAAGCAGATCACATCAAAACTCCTATCACAGCCTGCAAGATAACAAGAGATAATGGCCCTGTTGAGCTCCTGTCATTATGCTGCTGTATCTGTCACCCTGTATCACTTGCTACCCTCTGACAACAGAGAAGGTAGCACAGTGCCCTCCATCAGCTGTGCTCCTCCTTTTTGACTCAGCAAAAGGGTAGAAAAATGCATGCCAGTGCCAGCATTTAAATCCTCATGGCAAAAAGCATGGATAAAACAATGTGCCCCACAAACTAGCACTGGGAACTGTTCTAGTGAGGAATGATGCACAATGTGGGGAAGTCTTGCGGGTTTTGACAAGCCTCATCAGGACCGGGTGCTCACTCTTTGAAAGAGGAGGGAGCACAGAGTATTGGAACCAAGGGTAATGGTGAAAAGGGGGTGATGGATAGGAAAAGCCTGGGAACTGCTCTTCTCAGGAAATACACTGCTGCCTGAAAAAGTTTTTTTCCCTAAGATGAGCAGCAAACCCCATTAGCAGGGAAGAGAATAACTGCCTGTGGTTGTGTGCTGTGCATGGGGGTCCCCTCAGGATGCTGGCGAGAAGCAAGTCACTGGCTGAAAGTGCGGGGAGCAGCAGTATCTACAGTGGGAGACGTGGTGCCACCAACTCCGTCCCACTCCCAGCCCCATGGCTACTCATCATCTCCTATCTGCATCTGTGTGGCCACAAGGCTGTGCTGTAGCTTTTACTCCCCAGCCATTTTTATAGGATCCCTTGTTACCTACCCCCTTCATTATCTGATGGGAAATGCTTAACATGGCACTTAAGGAAATGCCATACAGATCCACTGAGGTGTCAAAAACCCATGGTGTTGCCATGGGCTCTCCTATTTCTGATCCCGAAGCTCACGGACACATCTATCCCCAAGACCCTGGGGAAGGCAGCGGCCCAGGATGGCTGGAACACTCCGCTTGCATGTGGGATGCCCTGGGCAAGTCAATGACAGCCCTGTGCCAAGCTGGTCCTCTCTTGATAACTGTTGGCTTGTTATCTCCTTTGAGCTGTCTTTTCTTCCTTCTTTTACTGTCTTTCACTCCTCTTTTTTTCTTTCTTCTTCTGTTTAAATGGGGACATGATTGCTATTGCCCTACCTCTGTTAAGCATTTCTCTTTTTATTTCAAATTTTGATGCATTTTCCCTCAAAGACACATGCTGTTTTAATCAGGAGCAATCAGCCATTAAAACCAGATCAATTAAATAAATTAGTTTACATATTTTTTCTGATGATCTGAAACAAACAGGAGAAAACTACAATCTTGCATATATAATGCTGTTTGTCTGCAACAGACCACTGGAAAATATTGCTGATCTGAGAAGATGATGCCACCTCATCATTAATCTCTTGCTTGAATAATAAAATAGCTGATTGGAATCTACTGCATCCTTTGGAAATCGATATTTTGGTCTCTTTTACCATTTATATTGCAGTTAAGAGCTCTGCTCTGCAGTTTCTTAAAACTATGGCATGTGAATGCAATGTGCCCTTTGCTTGACTCCACTAACGATGCACTTAATTCTTATTTTTCGCTCTGCTGCCGCTGCTGTTGTCCTTAACACCACTTGCCACCATCAGGAGACAAGGACAAAGCCCTGTGGGACTGTGATGCACTGTACAAATTTGGAGTAATGTCAACTCCTGCCAATCCTATTTCTAAGGCTTTAAAAAGTGTCGCAGTCAGTGCAACCCCATCTAACTTCAGGGTTAGCATAAAGTCACTGAATAAATGATGTCATATGGTGTCAAAATGATACAAAAATTATGTCACTATGGCACTGAGATGATGTTGTCATTTAACAGTATCATGCATAAAGCCACTAAGTAAATGATGCAACCTACATAAATTCTGCAACCTACACAAATGATGTCACCTGATGTGATGTCATAAATACCATCAGTGAGTAAATGATGCCATATGATATCAAGTGATGTCATAAATGAAGTTACTAGGTAAATGGTTGTTGCTGTACTGAAAGATGTACCTACAGTGACTGTGGTAGGATGAAGAAGGTTATTGACATCTTATTTAAGTTAGTTTAATATTAGTTCATTAATAAAGTATTAGTGTGCTAATAGTAAGTCTATTACATCTAAACAAAATTATATCTTGAAACAATCGATTATTTATTATTGATCAATGCCTCATGATTATTAAACATTGTGATCTATTAGCATTTTAGGGCTGATTCATTCATGTGTACATTGATTTTGATTAAACCATTTACTCAGAGTGCCATCAGAAGAAACCTCCAGTGGAGTAGAGCAGTGGGTTGTCCCCTCCTGCTCCTGCAAGGGCACCACTGACCCCCAGAGAGACCCCCAAAATGATGCTATCATCTGGTACTGGCACACTCTCTCAGCATCTTTCCCACTCTCAGTGCTTGGACACTGGTTGTAGCCCTGCAAGAACAAGACTGGCTCAGCAGGATTAAGCCCACGCAGCAGCCCAGGACAGCTATTGCTGAGCCTCTTGACAGCCCTTTGTCATTCCCAAAAGGGAGGTCAAGCTCCCTGGGAATCAATTTGCACAGCCTTCAAGTTCACATTATTTGCTGGAAAATGCCCATACTATTGGAAAAACCCTAGAAAAGGGGAATTTATTATACAATTACCCTGGGGGAAGTGTCAGCAACATTAATCCTATTATAGAATTAGTAGGACAGGGTTGCAAGAAATGATAGGGAGAAAACAGTGCTCTGCCAAAAAGCAGAAACCCCTATTAGAATGTCCCTGTGTTGATAGCATCCCACAATGGGAGCAAATAGAAAGATGTAATGTACATATGATGAGGCTTGTCATGTCCTCCCCAGGTTCCACTGCCCCAAAGAAGATGCATCAGGACTCTCAACAAGTCTTTTCATCTCTGGCATGGCTGGGTGGATGCTCAGTGCCTGCTGTAACGGTGGAGGATGGCAGTGTTTCCAACAGGTCCCTTCTGTCTTTGCCATCAGCTTTCCTATTTTTCAAAGAGAAATAAGGGAGAGAGTGGTGAGCTGGCCCAGTTCCATATTCCTAAACTGTTCTTGGTGCAACCACACTCATGCAAGCCAGTCTTGCAAAGTTTTTGTAAGAAGAAGATTTTAAGCTTGGTCAGCTTGGGAAAGAGTAAAGCTTACAAATAAATCCCTCCTAAGATGAAAGAATTGAAGCCATTGATGGCTGGGTTGTCTTCAGCAACAACCTGCCCCCCCCCAAATGAAGGCAAAATGAAAGTCCTGGCTGCAAGAGCGAGGGAGAAGAAAGGACCTGCCTCAAAGCAGGCAGGAGGGGAGAGTCATTTCCAGGCTGTGCCAGTGATACACACGGGGTTTGGCTGCTCTGAAAACTCCTTGTTTAAGGCACCATTTTGTTAGCTGAGACAGTTCACAAGGCGCTTTCTTGCGCTATGGGAGAAGATCAAGCAGTTCTGGCTCAGCTCTGGAGGACCCTGGTCCTGTCTATTTGCCTGGAGAAAATCTTCTCTGCTTGTATGACTGGCTCAGCACTGCTGAAAGACCCAACATGGCACCTGCATTTTTAATTTCCACTATGACTTCGAGGAGACGTCAAGCAAAGAGTAGTAAAATAGTGGCCAATGTAACACTCAGACTCTGGTTTCCTTGTCAGATGAAAAAGACTCATTTGTATTTGATCCATGTGTGCTGCACACAGACAACTAGCTGGAAAAAGAAACAACAGATTGAGGATTATCTGCCTGGGAGAAAAGTCTAGTGAAATATTGTGCTGGATTTCCCCAGCACCCTTTTCCTAGCCATCCCCTTCCATCCTTATTTTCCCTCCTAAACACGAAGCGGTTTGCACATGTGAAAGCTGTTGCCTGTATCCTGAGGTGAAACAAAACTTATTCCCTCTTCATCATCAGTGATGAAAAAGTGTAAAGAGTTGCTAGTCATGGCAGATCTCAAAATGCAGCTTTCACACTGATTCTAAATTTGAGTTTTATTACATGGGGAATTTTCCCTCTGAAGGGCTAAACTACATTTTAAGAAACTGCAGTATTTGATATTTCTTTATAGAGGACCAGGACACCTTTGTGTTTCAACTGCTCCAGTGCATGAATTACTGTTTATCCAAGCTTAATTTTGTTTTAGCTTGGGCAATGTTTGCAATCAGTCACTGATTAGGGTTAAGTCATGAGGGGTTTTTTTTAAGATTTTGATATGTTTACATGGCAAAAACTGTCTCTTGCTTGATGTTGCTATGACATACTGCCACACCCAGTCCCTCCCATGTGTGTTTTCATCCTCCTACTGTGTGTGAGAGGGGTAGCTGGATGCAGTGCAGCTCTGCTATCTCCTTGATCTGCTGGCTAGCAACCACCTTGGAGAGATAACGAATGCCTGAAATGTGGGAACAGCTTTAATCAGCCCTTGTAGATCTTCCCACGCTGGGGAACAGGCCCACAGGAAACCAGACCCAGTGTGCACAGGTATCCCACAACCACTGTGGGCACCACAAAATGCTTTTGACCTTTTTGTATGGAAAAACCCCAATGTTCTCATATTAACAAGGCAGAGTTCATGAAACGAGGTTTAAAATAGGGTGTGAGGCAAAGTATTCATGAAACTAAATTTTACAATCTTTCTAACTTGAGAAGATGATGTCCACAGGTTGCTTCCAAGCTGAATTGTTCTCTTATTCTATTTCAACTAAGATTAATAACAGCTGACTTCTTACGTCTCGAGAGCTCTTGATGTTACAACAAAGAAGGTGAAGACCAATGCCCAAGAAGATCCCCTGGATAGTGAAATAAAAGCAGACGTCCAAGTTTGCACCAATACTGCATCCTCTGGTCTTGCAGCTCTCAGGGCAGGATGCATGCACTCCAGTTCTGCATCACATTTTCCCTGCAGAAGGGTAATCACAGAATCAGCTAGGATGGAAAAGACCTGTAAGATCATCAAGTCCACCACTAAACCATGTCATAAGGGTCTCATCTACACAGTTTTTGAGTATGATTGAACCACTGCCCTGGGCAGCCTGTTCCAGTATCTGATCACCCTTTCGCTGAAGAAATTGTTCCTTATACCTCATTTAAACCTCCCCCGGTGCATCCTGAGGCCATTTCCTCTTGTCCTATCACTTATTACTTGGGGGAAGAGACCAAACCCCTCCTCACTACCACCTCCGTTCATGGCAGCACGAAGCACAACCTCACCTCCTGGTGGACAAGGTCACGCCTGGCCCGGCTCCGTCAGGCTGCCAGCCAGATTTAGCATGAGAACTTTCCACCCCTTATCTGCTTGCAGCAAGATACTGATGCCAGCTGTTTTGGGGTTTATTATTCGGTTACATGCCTGCAGAACGCTTCTAGGCACAACGCTACATCGAAAACCAATAGCTCTGACAGCGACGAGCGTCCCGACCCGTGTCCCGGGCGATAACGACCGCTGTGTTCGCAGATAACCACCCCACACAGACGTCTGTGGGCAGCACCGACCCGTCACAAAACACACACCCCCGCCGCGCACAACATGGCGCCGCGGAATGACACGGCCGTCACGTGACGCGCGGTGCAACCCGCCCCGCCCGCCGCTGCCGCCGCCGCCGCACGGGACACGGGGCAGCCGCAGCCGCCGCCCAGGGGATCCGCCCGCCCGCCCGGCGGCCGTGCCGGCTCGACCCGACCAGACCAGACCAGACCAGCTCCGCCGCAGGGCTTCGCGCCGCACGGTGAGCAGCGACCCGCGCCGCCGCCTCAGCGTGGGGTCAGGCAGGCAGGTCGGACACAGGCTCGGGGGTGGCGGCAGGACGGGGCAGCGGGTGACAGCGGGGAAGAGGCCGCGGCCGCCCGAGGCGGGGCCGTATAGCGTCGAGGCCGGACAGCGGTTCCGGGGTACCTGGCACCTCAGCCTGGCGGAGGCCTCCGCAGCTCCGGAGGATCCCCGGAGGGTGTCCAGGCCCCCCCAGCCCCAGGGGTCTCCCTTCTGGGGAGCTCGGGTCCCCTCCGCCCGGGGGCCCTGAGGGAAGTGTGGTCTCCTCAGCTTGGGGGTATCTCGGCCGCTCAGTACTGAGGGGACTGCAGCTCCCCCACCAGAGATCTCCCGGGCCCCGGAGGCTGAGAGGGCTACAGTCGCCTGAGCTGGTGGGACTAGAACTGAGGAGACTTGAGCTGCCTGGAGCGCTGGTCCCGTCAGCTGTGATGCAGGGTCAGGTCTGTTCCCTTCCTTTTCAGGGTGTCTGAGTGGAGGGTCCAGGCCCCTCAGCCCCAGAGGGCCCGGGGGGCATGTGGTCTTCTCAGCTTAGGTGGGACTGCGGGCCTGAACCCGGTCTGCTCAGCTCAGGTAGGGCCCCCTCTCAGTGCAGGGGTTGCCTGGTGCCCTCAGTTCTCTGAGGTGCGACGGCAGACTGCTTCCCGCTCCAAAAGAAGCTGGAGAAGTCCACAGTGAGGGGGGAGATCCCTCCTATCTGATGACTTCAAGGGCTGTAGTGGTGGCATTAGGGCTGCACCACCTCTCTGGGTTTGAGGCTTGCTGGGTGACCACAGCTCGAGTATCTCAGGGACAAAGAGGCTGGAAGTCAGAATGGAGGGTGAGAGAGGCCTCACCATGAGCGGCAACCTGCCAGGCAGGTGTGCTCTGTATTTGTGAAGCTGCTTGCTGATTGTGAAATTGCTTGCTGATTGATGCACTGCATTTCTTGAATTTTTTTACTTGGATCTTTTTACTGTGTACCTTCTGGAGGGCCCTGTTTTGATCAAGGTTTCTAATTTATTCTGTCTTGTGTTAAAACCTCGTTAAAGAAGGCCTTGGTGCCTGAAGGCACTGTAAATACATGAGGCAAGGATGGAGAGAGAGAGGAGAATATTATTTGTAAAAATGGGAACTCTGCCATGTTGACATCATGCTGATGAGCCTTCCTGATGAAGGGAACCTTTCTTAGCAGAGATGGAAATGGGATGTCCATGAACGTTCTTGTGTTACTTGCGCTCATGGTAGTATCAACACATTGTAATGTGATGGCAGGTTTTGTAGCAGTTCCTTCAGACTTCATTTTGCCACTTCATGTCTGCATGGATGAACGCAATTTCTGTTGACTTTCATACCTGTTTGCAAACCAGTATAGAATACAGATGCCTGTGATGCCTGACAGTTAAAGTCAGTGGAAGTTCTACTGTTGATCTTGGTGGGTTTGGGTTTGTCTATGTTTGTTTGTTTGGGGAGTGAATATT